AGGGCGTGGCCCTGCAGCGCAGCATCACGCTGCTCAACGGCGTGGCCATCATCGTGGGCACCATCATCGGCTCGGGCATCTTCGTGACGCCCACCGGCGTGCTGAAGGAGGCGGGCTCGCCGGGGCTGGCGCTCGTGGTGTGGGCCGCGTGCGGCGTCTTCTCCATCGTGGGCGCGCTCTGCTACGCCGAGCTGGGCACCACCATCTCCAAGTCGGGCGGCGACTACGCCTACATGCTGGAGGTCTACGGCTCGCTGCCCGCCTTCCTCAAGCTCTGGATCGAGCTGCTCATCATCCGGCCCTCCTCGCAGTACATCGTGGCGCTCGTCTTCGCCACCTACCTGCTCAAGCCGATCTTCCCCAGCTGCCCGGTGCCCGAGGAGGCCGCCAAGCTCGTGGGCTGCCTCTGCGTGCGTGAGTGCGGGGAGGGGGGCGGGGGGCGGCCGGGACCCCCCAGCCCCGCACCCTTCCCCAAGTTCTGGACCAAGATCACTGGTTCCAGAACCCACGCGCGTCCATTCATTCCTGGACGGCGTCCCCGCCGGGCGGGACGGTCCCCTTCCCCGCCTCATCCGGACCCAAGCCCGGTGCCCGCCTGGGGTCCGGCCGGCGCCACGCGGAGCGCCGCACCGCGCGCTTCCTGCTCCAGCTTCCTTGTGCCGCCTGCTCGTTAAAAGGGCAGCTGCGCCCTAAATCGCCGCCGCCTCGTCCTCCAAGCCGGCCTGTCGGGAGGGAGGCGCGGCCGGCCGGCGGCGGCGCGGTCCCGGGACGGTCCCGCGCGCATCCCGCCCGGAGACCACCGCCCCCCTGGTGAGACAGTTCGCTGGTGCAAGTTAGGCTTCCGGGAGAGTGTGCACCGGCCATGCGATGCGTTCCCGAGGCTCCTAGCAGTTCTCGGGATCGTCCTTACGGGGAGCCGCGGCTTCTAACACCGGGTGTTTGCGTCGGAGCAGACTTGATGCCAGAGCCTGCCCGGACCTTTACAGTGGGCGCCCGCGCGGGGTAGCAGGCCAGCCTCGGAAATGGGGGGCTGAGCCGGTGCTAGGCTTCCAACTCCGGGCCTGAGCACTCTTCCTGAGCCTCTTTGTGCTCAAGGCCACAGCACTACTTCCAGCGTTCTCTGAGTAGTTATTGTAGATGAAAGTATCTAAGGACTTTTTTGCCCAGGCTGGCTTTGAACCACTGTCCTCAGATTTCAGCCTCTTGAGTAGCTAGGATTATGGGTGTGAGCCACCAGCGCCCAGCCAAAGTGCCTTTTAAGGACCTGTGTGCTTGCCTGTGGGAATGGAAAGCTGAGATTGCCTTCTGGTGGTGTGGGAAATGCTGCCTTAGCAAACAGCACGGGCTGGGATGGAGCGTTTTCTAATCCTCTTTCTAGTGAACAAGAAGCACACAGGTACGAGGTGGGGTGAAAAATTACAGGCAGGACGTGTGTGGAGCAAGCATGGGATCACAGTTCACCCCGGGCCCTGGCCGAAAGTGCTCCCCAGCCTCTGCTGGCAGCACTTAGTACTTTCTCTTCAGTCTCAATTGGGTCATAAAATACAGCATGTTCTCCTGCTTTCTGAAAAGCCTGGAGTGATACTGCGGTGTTCACACGTCGGTCCAGAGGCTCCTGCCTCTCAGGACCACTTCCTTTACACCCCAGCAAGTGTGCTCCACACGTGGCTTTGACCAGACAGCAGAAGGGTGTGTGGGTTCTAAGATTAGCCAGCCACACGCCTTCCCAAGAGGCCCTGCCGAGCCAGCCTCGCAGAGTGCAGACTTGTTTTCTGAGTTGCATGCATGCGCCAGCACCTGGCTCTTGTTGGGCTTTTTCACTCAGGCTAGTGCTGTACCACTTGATCCATGCTTCCAGGTGTCATTTCGTTGACTAATTGGAGATAGTCTTGCCAACTTTTCTTCCTGGGCTGGCTTCAAACTGAGATCTTCAGAACTCAGCCTCCTGAGTAGCTAAGGATTGCAGGCATGAGCCTCCAGCTGCTTTTTTTTCCCCTTAATGTATTACTGAGTAACCCAGGCTGGCCTGGAACTCAAGGCCTTTCTACTTCAGGCCCCCCCACCCCGCCCCCGCCAAGTGTTGTGTGTGTAGATATGAATCACGTGCCTGACTGCCGCTCACAGGTTTCTTCATAGGCCTTTTTTCCTTTCTTTCTTTCTTTCTTTTTTTTTGCCAGTCATGGGGCTTGAACTCTGGGCCTGTGTGCTGTCCCTCAGCGCTTCAGCTTAAGGCAAGCACGCTACCACGTGAGTCACAGAACCACTTCTGACTTTTTTCTGCTTATGTGGTGCTGAGGAATCGAACTCAGGGCCTCATGCATGCAAAGCAAGTGCTCTACCACTGAGCCACCTTCCCAGCCCCTTTCCTTTATTTCTTAAAGAAGAGTAGTGGAGTACCAGCTGCGAGGGATGGGGGATCCAGACAGCCCTTGTGGCCCCCGAACGGACAGAGCCTTCCATCCAGTGGTGCCATGCCTCGTACATGCTGTTCCGCACTCAACAGTTGTTCCTCCGACTGTTGTGTGCATGTTGCTATCCTGCTGTTATTGGAACGGGGTTTTCAGGGGAGGGGGTGGGAGACCCGGTCCATCTGGGTTCGTCTAATGCAGGCTCAGACAGGGCCGCTAAAGTCCTGGGCAGGGCATGTGGCCTTGGTGGGGCAGCCTAGAGCTCTAAAGGGCAGGCAGACAGCCCCTATGGCCTGTGAACACTGCTGTTGGGGAGTGAGCTTTAGTGCATTTTGTGGTCTCCGTAGAGCGGGACTCCACATGACTTGAGAGAGAAAAGAGCACTGTTGCCCATCGTCCTGTGGCCTGCTGGCACGCAAGGGCACAGTCTGCCTCCCGGTGCTGTGCCCCCGACACCTCCGGAAAACCTTGGCTGCACAGAGGGCACACTTTTTTTTTTTTTTTTGCCCATCCCATCCTGGGGCTTGAACTCAGGGCCTGGACACTATCCCTGAGCTTCTTTTGCTCAAGGCTAGTGCTCTACCACTTGAACCTCAGCACCACTTCTGGCTTTTTCTGTGTAGGTGGTACTGAGGACTGGAACCCAGGGCTTCGTGCATGCCGGGCGAGCGCTCTGCCACTGAGCCGCCTTCCCAGCCCGAGGGCATGCATTCTAGAGCAAAGTTCTTCTGTCAGAGCCGCTAGCTTCTGCTTGTTAAAATTGTGAAGTGTGCCTTGGCCTGGGCACAGAGGGTGGAGAGGGGCCTCCCTGCGGCGCCGACGAGGGAAGTCTAAGATGAGGTCTTACGGGCAGGTGCTAGTGTATCTGCTAGCCCTGCTCAGCTGCAAAGGCAGACCTAGCTCCCTCTGGAGGACCGTGTGCAGGGCCTCAGGAGTGGTTTGTGTGGCTTGTTTATTGCCGAGAACTTGGTGGTATTTCCTTGGAGCTCCGCTGGTGCTGGAGTTTACCTTCTCGATGGAAGTCACAGACTGGAGCTTCAAGTCTGGCTGGGCCGGGATTTGATCCAGAAGCTTACCTAAATTCACCATTGGTGAAGAGGGTGGTGTAGGAGTGGAGGCTGGCCTGGGGAGGGCATAGCCTCCTGGGGAGCTCCAAGCTCCCAGTGCGTGACACCACCTCCTTCCCCACCCTGGGGAGCTCTTGGGAGAAGGGGTCCGACCGGGCTCACGGCTCCGCTGTCCTGGTGCCACTTACCCGGCCTGCAGTCAGGGCTGTGGCCTCCAGGCCGTGGTTCCTCACACCCACGCGGTTGGTGGGCAGAGGGTGGGACCCTGCCTGTGGACCCACTCTGGAGGGTTCATGCTCACAGACCCGGTCCTCCTCTAGATGAGCTCTGCTGGCTCTTGAGGCAGTGGCCACTTTCCCAAGACTCTGGGGAGCCAGAGAGCTGGTGAGCCTTCCCCATTCAGGAACTTCAGAGGGGAGATACTTTTCTGCCTTTGTCAAACCAAGAATAATGTTCTTAAATCCATGGGGCCTCTGAGCCTCCATCACCACACCTAAAACCGATTTGTCCTAGCCCTGCCCCGGTGTTGATGGGGATTTTATTTAATGTGCAACACGGGCACACCTGGCCCCGTGCTCTGCAGCAGTCCCAGAACTGGCCCTGCCCATCGAGCAAAAGGAGGGAAGGAGGAGAGAAGCTCCCTCTTCCCCTGAGCCGGCCAGGTAACAGGGCAGGCTGGATGGAGAATTGCTGGATGGAGAACTGTCAGGCCTGGGGGCTGGGGCAGGAGATGGGTCTTGGCCACAGGGCTCCAGAGCATCAGCTGGCTGTCTAGTGATGAGGATGGTGTGTGAAGGAGTGTCTTCACTCCCTGTTTTCAGGCCGATAGCTGGTCTCCCCCCCCCACCCCCCAGGGGCCTAGCTCCCCCATCTGGGTCCATCCAGTGAGGCCTTAGGAAACCTAAACCAGATCAGAGGATTCTGGACCTGCCCACAGCCACAGCTGGGACCTGAACAAGTCAGGGTCTGTATTTTCAAAGCACACCCCCCGCAGACCCCCTCCACCTCCCGCCCCCCCCAGCCCCCCTCACCTCCCACTCCCCGCCCCCAGCATCTCAGGCTGAGTCAGCATGGCCAGCAGCATGGTCATTAGCCCCAAAACCCACTCTTCCGGCAGCATGAAAGCCAGGCACGCCTGAGCGGACCTTGTCAGTCATGGGACCTGGCCTAAGGCAAAGCATGTGACCGCAGAGGTGGGTGGGAGGGGAGGCAGGCATTTCTCACCCCTTTTTTTCTGGGTCACAGACCCCTGGGTAATCCCTAGTGCAAGCAGGATCTCTGCCCAGAGTGCGTGCCAGGGGCCTCCCTGCAGCAGAGCGGCGCCATGGGCCCGGAGTAGGGTGAGATCCTGTCCCCCACAGCACCGTGACCATGCGCCTCTCCTCACGTGCTCTGCCCAAGGATTGAAATCAGTGTTCCACCCTGGTCCTCCAGCTAGGGAAACCCAGGCCGGAGCAGGTGGGACCAGAGCCAGGCACCTGCCCGAGGTCTGGAGTGGCCTAGGTGACACTATGTCCAGGAAGCCCAATTAGCCAAAGTAGGGAGCGACACTGCGGGTCAGATGCTCACTTGTGTCTGGACTCCACAGGAAGTGCTCCCCACACAGTGTGAGCTGCTTGCCCACAGGGACTTGTCAGAGCCTCAGCCATCTCCATGGTGAAAATGAACTCCCAGCAAGACAGGGCAGGGAATGAACCCCGACCCTCCCCCCAGAGGGAGGAGCCCATGTGCTCTCCTCCCTCCCAGAGCCGTGGGGAGCTGCTCAGAGCACACCGTCCCGCCCCGCACCCCCATCCTGTCTGCAGCAACAGGACCTGCGTTCTACAGGATGGCCCTGCACGGCTGCCCTGCACGGTCCTTTCGGGTCCCCTGCCCTGACCCTGCAGGAGGACTCGTACCCACAGCTCCGTGTTCATCCTGCATCTAGAACTCTCTGGAAGTTCTGGAAGGTGTCAAAGCAGCCATGTGTGGGAAGCTGAGCGCCTGAGCTGTCTTCCTGACCCCTGTCCTCCGATGGATGGTCAGGTGGGACGGTCCCCTGGCTGTGCCCAGCCCTGCCCTCCTGTGCCAGGATTTGCCAGCTATGTGCAGAAGTAGCTCTGACTTCCACCAGGGCTAAGAGCCTGGGGCTGGCAACCTGATTTCACAGGTCACCTGAGCTGGGCTGGCGGGCATCTGTCACTGCCCAGGCTCAAACGGTGTGAGAGCCTCTGGCCAGCACGGCCCCGAACTGCCCATCGCCAGCTCGGGCCCTGCGTCCAGCTCACCAGTCTGGACATGCCACCAGCTCAGGTGGCACAGCTTCCACAGCTCCCAGGTTCCCGTGGGACTCATCGGTGGATTTATCTAGGAGGGCCTCGGGCCGCTGAGGAGTTCTGACTGGGCCTGGTCAGGGAGGACCCTCAGGCTGTGGCCATCCCCTGGGTCCTGTGTGTCCCAGCTGGAAGCAGGATGGGGTGTGCAGGCTGGGGGAGCCTAGAGCACCGGGCAGCCGGCGGCCTGCCGCAGCATGGCCCCTCCTGAGGTGGCCTCAGGCCCGCTCCAGTCGGCCACTCCCTCGCTTAGCCCAGGCCTCCAGGCCTTTTCCCAGTCAGTGGCTGGGCAGGGAGGAGAGGCCCCTGGCTGGACTGCCCGCCCGGTGCGCATTAGGGAAACCTGGGAGTGGGGCCCTCCCCAGAGCCGGCAGTAGACTTTCCACAGTGCCGAGGCTCACCCGGCTCTGCTCTGTTTACCCCAGCTGTAAATGAGGGTGCTGGTGTGGCAGGGGCATGCAAGGCTCAGCATGGAACTGGAGAGGGAGACATCTTATCATGTGCACACAGGGCCTCGTGTGCTCCAGAGATAGAGCGCAGTGAACGGGCTGAGGATGGACGCCGCAGGGCGCACTGGCCTGCCATCCACCTACAAGTGCTGGAGGGGAAGCAGGCTCGGGGGTTAGGGGCCTTGCCCAAGGCCACACAGCCTGTCCCCACTCAGCTGCCAGCTGTGCATGCCCGTGACGGCCCAGGTCCCCGGAGCTGGCTTCAGAAGAGCCTGGTGAGGGGTGGCTAGGGTGTCCGGGTCGGCAGATTTCTTGTGGCTTGTTTAGCTTGTCTTCTTATAGCCTGACTTAGAGATAGGCCAGCCCTGTGTCCAGTCACTGACACCTCTACCCCTGTGAGCGCTTAGGCAGGAGTCACCCTGGGTCGCCTGGAGACGGGAGATAGCTATGGTGTGGCACGCTCAGGGCCTGGGCTCCAGCCGGAGACAGGAGCAGGAGGGCTGAAATCCAAGCACTCCACCAGCTTGTGCATCACTCGTTTCTCCCCCGAGGGAGGCACAGGAGTAAGACACCCCTCCACCCAGCACAGGCAGTGCCTCTGCCACTGGAGAGCCTGGCCCGGGAAGGGCCAGCAGGCATGACTTAACCTCCTGGTCTCTAAACCGGTCTGGTCCTGATCTTCCCCTTGATGGACAGCGGGGACCGGGGCAGTCGGGTCCAGGCAGGGATGGCTTGTGGCCTCTGGAGCCAAGGAAAGGATGCTTCCAGCCGTGGCCCACCACATCTGAGTGGGCGCCCAGTGCCTGGGAACTTGGCGTCCAAAGTTTCCGGTCTCGCTGCCTGGTGAGAGGTTCAGGGAGCCCAGGTCAGTGTCTGGGGATTCGGGGCTGGCTGGCACCGGCCGTGTCCTCTCCTGTGGTGGCGAGTGAGTGAGTGTAGGCAGGGCAGGAAGTGGGTCAGCCCTCCCAAATTGGCAAATCTCCACCCCTGGGCCTGGGGGGCGGGGGGGCGGTACTGCGCTTTGGGAAGCCCCAGGGTCACTGGACACCCTCTAAACTCAGTTCCTGTGTGCTGGGCGGGCTCAGATCAAGCCGTGGCCACCTGCAGGGACCCGGGGCCAGCCTGGGCCTAGGTCTCCGGCCAGCTGTGATGCAGTGGGCCAGCGCTGCTCTGCCTGGGCGCTGACTGCCATTCTCCTGTGCCCTGGGGAGCCATCTGGCTGTGCTGCCAATGGCAGAACTGGTGAGTGCCGCCAGTCCTGTGACATGGCCGTTCCTCTGGCAGAGACCCAACCCTTTCCCCCCCCCCCCAGCAGCGCACGCCCATCTCTAAATAGACGCCTTTTGGGAGGCGTCTATTTGACAGGACATTGGTGCATCCAGGCCCGGCCTCAGTGCCTGAGTCTGCGTCTGAGCGAGGGCAGGCCTGGCTGGGACGTACTGTTAGGAGCCTGGCCATAGGGCCCTCCAGCCTGTTGTCACCAAGGGAACATGTCCCCGCCCTGAGTCAGCAGGGTGGCCCTGCTGTTAGATGTTAGAGCAAGGTTAGAAGCAGGAGACAGACTTGAGGTGCTCGGGGCCTGTGGGAGGGGGCCGGGCCTGCCCAGCTATCTGCACCCAGTGCCGGGCACAGGCTCCATCCGGCCTCGCTGCTCTGTGGCCATGCTTATCTGGGGTGCCACATAGGTAACCCTGGGAAGGACCGGCTTCCAGCAGGTGTGGAGGCCTTGCTGTTTGTGCACGCGCACACATACACACACACATACACACACACACAGAGCTTGCTTGAGGGGACACCGTCCCCTTCCTCGGACCACCTGACCTTGGCACTGGCATGAAACTTTTTGGCCAAGGAGGGTCCGTGGTTACCGCTGCACTGAGACAGCGGTGCCCTGCCACACCTGCCTCCTCCCACCCGGGGCGGGAGTGTCTGCACCACTCCTCTCCCTCGAGAGTTGAGATGGGAAACAGTCGATCTGCCAGTGGGCATGGCCAGTGGGCGTGGCGGCAGCCTGGCAGCCACACCTCCACCGCTGCCACCCCGCCCGAATGGGCCACTGATGCAATCGGCTGGCTGCTTGCTGCATCCGGGAGGCGGGGGAGGGGGCAGCCTGGCACACTCTTGCTGCTTTGTGGTCACACTCACCTTTCAGGAAACGTGAGAGTCAGGGACAGTCAGGTGGTTTCTCCCCCTCCCCCCCCCTCCGCAGAGTGCCTGGGCCCAAGGGGCTGAGCCATGGCTGCTAGGTGACAGTTTGGCTCGGCTCAGTGCCTAACAGACACATTTTCCTCTTCCTGGGAAGAGACTTCCGCTGTTCATCCACCCTCCCTGCTTCACCCTGGGGCTCTGGGGAAGCCTGCCCATGGAGGAGAACCAGCCAGAACAACTGCTCTCCGCCCCCTGTCCCTCCACCTCTGGGCAGTGTCTGGTCAGCATCAGAGAGGGGGCAGTCAGCGGGCTGCATCCTGCCCAGCTCCAGGGCCTTCCTGTGCCTTCACCTGAGACGTCAGGCCACATCCAGTTAATTAGTGTGGATTTATTTCTTTGAAGTCTGTTCTTCAAATAGCAAAATTACATGTAATTAGTCCAGCCCGGCGTCTTGCGGCCTGAGCTGGCTGTGGCTGGGGGGTTGGGGGGGGGTGAACCATGGTGGTCCACTGGACGGCGCTGTGCCCTTCATGCGTTTATGTTTGATTCTGGCCACCAGGCCAGTGGCCCTGGGGAGGCTGGCAGCGCACCCCCCCACCCCAGTCTCAGTCCCTAATCCTAGGAGGTGGTGGAACAGGAAGGGGCTGTTTCATTTTCCGCAGTAGAACGGGGGGGGGGCACGGCGGCCGCAGCTCCCTGAGCCTCCCACAGCCAGCTCTGGCCCAGGGCTCCGGGTAAGGTCTGCAAACCTGTTGGTCCTGGCCTCCAGTCTTCAATGAGCCTCCTGTTTCTGGGGTGCAGAGTTCAAGGTTGTCTGGGTGCCAGTTGCTCTAGAGTCTGGGAGACATTCCGTGTGATTTCAGACAGGAACAAAATGGGGCACATATCTGTCTCCCTGCACTCCCGGCCCACTGAGGCTGGCTGTGCCTTGGGAGCAGGCCTCCTGGCCGACACCTCCCCGGCACAGCCTGGTCCTCACCGCTGCTCTGGACTTGCCGGATGGACCCATGGGACCCATGGGACCGGCGGCCTTGTTGTCTTAGGGCAAGAGGAGCTGTGCCTTTTGGCTGGCAGGGACGGTGGTAGAGCAGCACTCCCCCTCCAAGTTGACCCAGAGGGAGCTGCTTTTCTGCAGGGACACCAGCTCCCACAGGAGCTGTTGTAGTCACAGAAAGTCTGAAAAGGAAATCTTGCCAGACACTGGTGGCTCATACCTGTAATCCTAGCTGCTAAGGAGACTTGAGACCTGGAGGATCAAAGTTCAGAGCTAGCCTGTATAGAAAAATCCTTGAGACTTTGTCTACAATTAGCAAAATGCTGGGCTGGGGGCATGGCTTAAGTGGTAGATATAACACCAGCCATCAGCAAGCCCATAAGCAGTCATGAGGCTGAATTCAAGTCAATACTGGCAAAGAGAAGAAAAACCATGGGTGGGAGGCCGGGAAGGTGGCTCAGTGGTAGAGCGCTTGCCTTGAGCTGAAGAGCTGAGGGACAGCGCCCAGGCCCAGAGTTCAGGCCCCACGACCGGCCAATAAAAGGAAAAGAAAAAGAAAAGCCATGGGTGGCCTGCAAACTGTCTGGCTGCAAACCATTTCCATTAGTGGGGCCCTTGGCCTTGCCCGCCCCGTGCTGAGCGCTACACTGGGTGGCCTGGCTGACGCAGGCTTGCTGGCCTCTCCCTGCAGTGCTGCTCACAGCTGTGAACTGCTACAGTGTGAAGGCCGCCACCCGCGTGCAGGACGCCTTCGCCGCTGCCAAGCTGCTGGCCCTGGCCTTGATCATCCTGCTCGGCTTCGTCCAGATCGGAAGGGGTAAGTGAGCCCGACCCTGTCCGTGGGGAGGGACGGCCCAGCCCAGCACGCACGGCCTGGGGTAGGGCCTAGCCTCGCCTGCCTGCGGCCCCTCCCTGTCCCCTTGGTGAGTCCTGTGTGTGCTGGGCAGGCCTCAGAGTGGGCCTCGCCTGCCTCACACCTGCCTGTGCTCCTCTTCCTCCCCCACGCTGGCTGGGCTGCTTCATGGTACCATTTACCATCGGGGGCTGTGTGGGGTTGTCTCTGCCCCTCTGGCGGTGGAAATGAGGGCCAGAGACACCTAGAGAACAGGCTCTTGGTGGCTTTGGTGGCTGGGCCAGGCAGGACGTGGGGTTGGGAGGACCAGAGCCGGGGCCGGGTCTGCCCGAGGTGCTGCTGCACGCACGAGACAGAGCACGCCGCTCTCTGGACCTTGGCCTTGACCTTGACCTGATGAGGTCATGCAGGTCCTCCGTGGGAAGCCATGTTAAACCATCTGAGGCCAAGTAGGGTGAACAGTTTAGACCCTCCTCAGGCAGTTAAAGCTGGGCACAGTGGCACATGACTGCCATGCCCACCACGATGAAGCTAAAGTAGGAAGGTCCGGGCCGGGCATCAGCACAGAGCTCGTATTCAGAAAAAGAACTGGGGGGCGGGGCTGGGAAGGTGGCTCAGTGGTAGAGCGCTTGCCTTGCAAGCATGAGGACCTGGGTTCAATTCCTCAGCACCACATAAGCAAAAATAAAAAAAAAGATGATTTAAAAAAGAAAAAGGACTGGGGCCAGGGGACCGCTCAAGCGGTAGACTCCCTGCCTAGCACGGACAAGACTCTGGTTCCAGCCCACCCCCCAAATACCAGGCCCTGGGTTCCAGCCGCCCTGGGCTCCTCGGGTGTGCTCCTGTGTGACTCCGGCAGCGGCTCGCTGGCCACCTTCGCGTGGGCTGGGAGAGCGGGAGCACACACGTGCACGTCCTAGGGCAGCTGGGACTCAGAGCCAGCCCCACAGGCAGTGGGGGCCGGGGCTGGGGGACCTCACACCTTCCCCCGTCATCAGCCCCTCCCCAACATGCTAGGCCCTGCCTGCCTGGGCCTGTCATTTCCCAGATACAAGCTCCCTCGAGAGCCACAGAGGTGCAGACACCCACGCCACCGTCAACACGACGGGGGGAGGGGGGCAAGTCTGGACCCCAGTGGTGTGCGGGGTCCTGGACCCTGCCCGCACAAGGGCCCAGTCGAGTCACGTTTGCTACCATGGAAGGTGGCCTTGCTGATTCCGAGCCTGACCTGGTCCCATAAGTGTCCGTACGGGGACTCTCAGGGTCACGTGGGGCGCAGGACCTTCTTATAGTCCTGGCTCCAGCCTGCCACGCCTCTCACCCCTTGGGGCGATGAAGGAGCCTTCAGGTTCCAAAGACAGACCGGTCCCTGCTCGAGCCTCTGGGACCTTGGCCGGCAAGGCCGTCTGAGGCTCGGGGTGAGGTTGCCAGGTGAGGCTGTCTCGGGAGCCCAGCCACAGGGAGGCTGGCCGTGGGGAGAGCCTCATCTTGCAGCAGGAGGGGCACGGTGGACGGGAGCCGGGGCACCTGCGCAGCTGCTGTGACTAGAGACCAGTAGGGATGGCAAGGAGCTTTTGTTCAGCTTGAATACACAGTGTGCATAATTCCAGTGGCTCTGGATGCCCCCCCACCCCCCCCCACACACATACACAGAAGCACTTTCTGAGCATTGTGCACAGTTGCGGCGTCTGCAGAATTCCTATGTGATATTCTCTGGCCGGCCCCTGTGTCCAGATGGACGCCCCACTGGGGGCGTGACAGAATGCTGGCACCTTGCTCCCGTGGCAGTGGCCTGGGCAGCCAGGCTCCTCCACGCCGAGGGCACTGGCCCACAGTACCTGGGCGCTTTGAGAAGGAGAAGAGCCCCTGGCTACAGCAGCCCTCGCAGATGCTGAGGGCCTGGAGAGGGCCGTTGTCCGCAGCGCCATTTCCTTGCGCAGGCCTCCTGCCTCTCGGGAAGGTCCAAACCTGTGGACAGTTGTCCACTGTGCTTCCCCGTGGTTCCCACTGCAGAGGACGTGACCTGCTCTCCACAGCTTGTGTCATGCAGGGGCTTCTAGGAGCTGTCGATCCCGTGCAAGGGAAGGCTGCTGATCGGGCCAGAAAAGCCCCGAGGCTCCAGACGGTCTCTTTCCCCTTGGTGTTGAAGGAGCTTTGGACCCTCCACTCTGCTGGGCACAGGGGACTGGGGACATGGAGAGCTTCAGACCAGTCATGTCTGGATTCGCTCCATCCAATGGGATGGCCGGGAGAGGGTCAGCTCCTGGGGTGGAGCCTGGGGGCCAGGGCCAGGCAGGTGGGCAGGCATGGAGAGCGGGCACCCACTGCTTTTGCCTGCTGCATCCCTTCCTTGTCAGCTGGCCCCTCACCCACTGAGCCTGGCAGGGGCTACAGGGGGAGATCAGGATGTTCCCAGACACACGTGGGCCAGGCCTTTGTCTCTGAGGCCAGCGTGGGGGTGGGTTGCGGGAGGCTTCCTCTGGGCCTGCAGGGGCCGCTCCCCAGGAGGACACACAATGCCCCATTGTGCTTCTGCCCGCGCTGCCCACCCGGTGGCAGAACACGCTAATCTCCCAGGCAGGACGGGGATTGGACGGTCCTCCCTCCCGAGCGCGTGGGCAGCCTCAGCCCCTCCCAGCAGCGTGGGGTGCGCGGCCACGCGGGGCTGGGGGTCCATCACCAGGGCGCCCCTCAGGCTCCCCCAGGACACCGCTCGCTGCACAGGCAGGCCCCACCATGACCACAGGTGTGGTGTGTAGGCTTCCAACTCAGTCCTGGGCAGTGTAGCAGGGCTGCTTTTCATCCGCTTCGTCTGCCCCTGGGTCCGTGGGGACATGGAAGATACTGGAGAGGCTGGCGGCAAAGTTCGGGGATGTCTGGAGTGGTGGCCTAGAATCCCAGCCCTCAGGAGGCGACATAGCAAGACCCTGTCTCAGAGCAAATTTGTGGACAGTCACTGGGATGGCCAAGATCACTGGCCTGCTGATCCATTACTGTGGAATGTTCTGGAAGGCACCCCCAAAGGCGTACCACTTTCTACCATACACCCCCACTCCTCCCAGCGTCACGCACAGGTGAAGCCAGCAGCAGGCAGGGGTGGTATCCGTGCAGAGCTGCCTGGGACTCGCTGGTGTCTGGAAGGGACGGCAGGGGGGCGCTGGCCAGTCGGACCCACGCTCCAGGTGGGCACTGAGAGCCATTTCACACCCAGCCAGAAAGCTCTCGGCGCCTGCGGCCGGCCCCCCCAGCCCAGGGAAGCAGACTGGGGCTGACTCTTTGTGGAGGCGCCAGACAGCCGGTGCTGCCTGGGCATGGGTGGGCCTCCTCGCTGTGTTTTTGCGTGGTGGAGAGGATATGTCCCCGAGAGTCACCGAGTGACCCCTCTCTCAGGAACCTCGAGACTCACTGCTCCTAACTAGGGTCACTTCACAAACAAGTGACTCCCTGAAACCCCATTCAGAGCTGTTCCTTCTGTGGCTCAGGCACATCTACCTGGAGCCCTTTTTGGGAAAGGGGTCTCTGCGATGTTATTGAGGTGTAGCTGCCTGGAGGAGTCGGCAAGACACGCTGCACAGGAAGTGTGTGCACAAGTCTGCTCGCCCCACCGTCCTCACCAGCAGCTTCTCACACGCATGGTACAGGGCCTCCTGCCTCCGGCCTCCAAGAGACCTGCCCTGAGCTCAAACAGATCAGGGAGGCCACAGTTCTAGCCCCGGTGTCCCAGCTGACTCCATATGGCTTGATGTTCACATCTCTGGGCCTAGGAAAATGTTCTGGAAGGGACAGGGCTGCTCATTCCTTCCCTGTCCTCTGCACCATCCGCTGGGGCTGGGTGGCCCATGGTGGGTTCCGGCAGGGCTGAGGGGCTGGCTGCACCACCCTCAGGGTGGCTTGGACCACATTCCACGTCTGGACGGGGCCCAGCCCCAGGGAGGCTGGGGGTGTGGTCAGATGTCTCACCAAGTGAATGCAACTTGCCTTAAGGAAAAGCCCTCAGACCGACTTTGTTACAATATATTGCTCCAAGAACATTCCAGAACTTTCAGCATGACCTCTAACCAGCATTCTTCTGTCGGTGTTTCCTAGGTGATGTGTCCAATCTGGACCCCAAGTTCTCCTTTGAAGGCACCAAGCTGGACGTGGGGAACATTGTGCTGGCCCTGTACAGCGGCCTCTTCGCCTACGGAGGATGGTAGGTTCCAGAAAGTCTGCGTCTCATGGCCCTGATGTGTGTGTGCAGACCCCTATGGAAGTGGTGGATAACAAAACAATTGTCTGAATTCTAGGAACTACCTGAATTTTGTCACGGAGGAGATGATCAACCCCTACAGGTACGTGGAGACCTGCGGAGACAGCTCTTCGTCATTTTACCATGAGAAGAGACACTTCACGGGAAGGCATTGGTGGGCTCAGCCCCGCCTCTAGAGTTGGGTGCCAGGGGCGTGGTTAGGATGGCGCAGGACAGGACTGGTTCCTAGGACTGTGACCTGGAAGGAGATTCACCCGAGGGTGGGCCACACGTGCCTGGGGCCCCCTGCTGAGTCTGATGCCCGTGGGTGGCTCCGCCTGCTCCCCCTTCTGCGCATGCACGCCTGTGTGTGTGTGTGTGTGTGTGTGTGTGCGCGCGCGTGCGCGTATGTACGTGTGCATGTAGGCGTGCACAATGTTAGAGGGTCTCCCATGGGGGGTAAAGATTTGGGGTGTGGGCTGTGGCTCTAGTCCTCCGCGGTGGGGACTGGTCAGTGGCCCAGCTAGTGGGCAGGGCGGCTCAGGGAAGCTCGGCTCCCGGTGCTCGCGGTCCCCTGGGAGGTGCCCTTGTTCCCTGGGGTAGAAGGCTCGCCCGGATGCATGCGTGTCCCGCGGCCTGCGGTGCCAGTGGTAGTCTGAACCATTGGCCTGGGGAGTGAAGCCCAGACAGAGCGGCTGCAATGGGAAGTAATCCAGGCTTTCCTGAATGAGGGGCCCCGCCGTTCCTTCCAGAAACCTGCCCCTGGCCATCATCATTTCCCTGCCCATCGTCACGCTGGTGTACGTGCTGACCAACCTGGCCTACTTCACCACCCTGTCCACCGAGCAGATGCTGGCGTCTGAGGCCGTGGCTGTGGTGAGACAGCCCTCCAGCATCCCCTGGCCACAGAGACCGAGGCAGCCCATACCCCAAGCCCGGGACCAACCACAGGCTGCTCTGTGCCCGAGTCTTGCTTCACTCAGGGGGGGCTCCATAGTTGCCATGGGTCTCTGCTAAAGTGACTGCAGAGGGCCGCCGGCTGTGTGGTCAAGATCCTTGCCCTGGGTTTAAAGATCCTGCATCTGGGCAGAGGCCTACTGGGGGGGGGGCGGTTCTGGCAGCACCATGTGCGGGGGGGAGGCTGCCACTGATCTGGCTGCCGCTGCCACTGCTTCCCCCAAGGAGCAGCCCAGTCTACAAGTGTTGACCTAGAGCCCCAGGCCCGTCCCAGCCCCGTCCACACGGGGACTGCCAGCCCTGCGGAGCCAGGCGGCCTGCTGCCACTCGCTAGGCACCGTGGAGGATTCTGGACCAGTGGAGGCAGAGCCTCCATTTGGGGAAGCGCAAGGGACAGGCCAGGCAGGGAGGTCCCTGGGTGCCAGCATCTGACTTGCTGTGTCCCCCAGGACTTCGGAAACTACCACCTGGGAGTCATGTCCTGGATCATCCCGGTCTTCGTGGGCTTGTCCTGCTTCGGCTCTGTCAACGGGTCCCTGTTCACGTCCTCCAGGTGAGTGACCGCAGAGGCCACACCCAGCTCTGCCAGCTCTGTGGCTCTCTGCTCCAGGAGAACGTGGCTAAGAGGGAGCTGCAGCTAGAGCGGGGCCTCCCACGTGTCCACCCTGCTGCCCATGCGGACAGGGACTCGGGCAGAGGGCCCGCCCCACTCTGCCCTTCCTGCCCTGCCCACTCTGCTCCAGGAGCCTTCTCCCCACCACTGCCCTCTCCGGGCCATGTATCATGGCCAGGCCTGGGCTGAAGCCCTGCTGCTCTGTCCACAGGCTGTTCTTTGTGGGGTCCAGGGAGGGCCACCTGCCATCGGTCCTCTCCATGATCCACCCGAAGCTCCTGACTCCTGTGCCCTCCCTTGTGTTCACGGTAAGCCTGGTCCACGCCCGGTACCTGCAACCCCACCATCCCCGCCCCAGGGCCTGGGGTCCCAGGCCACATGCTGCAGTTCCAGGCCTGGCTACGATTGCTCAGTTTTAATTCCATATGTAATATGTGATCCTTACCAAGGGACAGCTGTCAATTCAAAAAGCCCAGAAGCCTGTGGGCCGCGCAGCACCCCCCCCACCCTCCCCAGGGAGCCAGTTCACACGGTCTTTGCTGTGGCCTCTGGTGCCTGGCTGAGGTCACCCGCGGCACACGCGTTCATCCTGATGGGCTCCATCTTCCTTCCCAGCTTGTCTGTGCATGAGGTGCTAGGTCTGTGTCACTGTAACAATCACTCAGTCTGCACAGAAGCTCAGGCCCACGGGAGGCTGTAGTGCAGTGGCTTTGGGGCTGGGCAGGGATTAACAGGTTGCCTCCTACGCTGGGGCCAGCAGTCTCCACCTCCCCTGAGCATTATGCCGACCAGTCCTGGCCTCTGGTCACACCCGTTGTGCCCACCTGGCTTGGTTAGAGTCGAGTCTTTGCACAGTGTGCCTGAAGGAGAGGGTTAGCTGCGTCTCCTGAGGTAGACTTGCCGACGTAGCTAGATGGGTAGCGCCCAGCTGAGCGTCCTCCGGGCCATGCGCTCCCCGGCCCCGGGCCGGCCAGCCACAGTGGGCCAGGCTCACCGACCTGTTTCCGCTTCCAGTGTGTCATGACACTGCTGTACGCCTTCTCCAAAGACATCTTCTCCGTCATCAACTTCTTCAGCTTCTTCAACTGGCTCTGTGTGGCCCTGGCCATCATTGGCATGATGTGGCTTCGCTTTAAGAAGCCGGAGCTGGAGCGGCCCATCAAGGTGAGTGACCAGTGGACGTCCTGGCCAGAGGTCCCAAGTCATCAGGCTCGTAGAGAGCAGCAGCCCACACAGCCTCTGGGTCCTGCCCTTGCCTTCTGAGCTGCTTCTGGGGAGAACTGGGTGAGGCGGTGTATGAGTGGGCTGCCAGCGAGTCCAGGGGCTGACAGGGCAGCCCCGCTCCTCCTGCTCCTGGGTTGTTTCTGGGGGCTGCGGGCAGACTGCCCATTGAGCTAGAGCATGTCTCCGACGGCCAGTGTGAAGTCAGCCAGCCCTGAGGAGGCAGGAGGGGCCATCCTTCATGGTGACCAGCACAGGGGTGGCCCTGTTTGGGGAGGGGGTGTCTGGCAACCCAGGCCTGTGACCCATTGCCGAGGGTGGCCTGGCCATCTACAGGGTTAGTGCAGTCGAACTCTGACAAGTCCAGTCCACAATGACACTCTAGTGGCAGACCCAGCCCCCCCCCGGCCCTCACAGCCGCTGCCTGCACCCCGCAACTGTGGGGTCGGGGGCTTCTGCTTGGACCATCGCAAGTGACTGAGGAGTGGCCAGGGTCTGCCCAGAAGCGCTGGGCCGCCACCACCGGTGCTGCTGTAGGGCTGGCAGGGCCAGGCTCCCGTGCCCTTGCAAGGCCTTGCCGTCAGGTCGGCTGGGCTCGTTCCCTGCCTCACTGGGCATCACAGCCAAGTCCAGGTTAAACAGCAGGATGTGGACTCCACAGCCGTCCCACCTGCTCCAAAGCAGATCACCGGTCCTGGGAGGAGTAGACGTGGAAGGAGAGGAGGGTGGGGGCCCCAGGGCCTGGAGGCGCAGCTGGGTCTTGGAAGAAAGCGGCCCCAGGGGCCCAGAGCGGGGCGGGGCCAGGGGCCGGGCACTCGCTGGGCAGTGTGGAGAACCCGTCACCTCACCAATGTGGCGCCGCAGGTGAACCTGGCCCTCCCGGTGTTCTTCATCCTGGCCTGCCTGTTCCTGATCGCCGTGTCCTTCTGGAAGACGCCGGTGGAGTGCGGCATCGGCTTCGCCATCATCCTCAGCGGCCTACCCATCTACTATTTTGGTGTCTGGTGGAAAAACAAGCCCAAGTGGCTCCTGCAGGGCATCTGTGAGTGTCCCGGGCCCTGCCCCGCCCTGCCCGCACCACAGAGCGCCGGCCCGGCCTGGCCGCAGCTCCGAGGCCGAGGGCCCTGGTGCTGGCAGCCAGGCAGGCCGTGTGCTTCAGAGATGAGGCTCGGCACTGGCTATTCTCAGAATAGGGATCCAGAGAGCCCCGCAGCCTCTGCCAAGTAACACCCCACGTCAGCCACCAGCTTAACAGGCCGCCTGACCCAGAAAGGCCGAGCCAGGGGGGCGGGGCCTTCCCAGGCCAGGCTCGGGCTGGGGGAGGGGGCCCAGGCCCATGCCCTTGTCTCCAGGGGAGTTGAGACTCCTCAGTGCTCCAGCACACAGTAACAGAGTGTGCACACACGCACACGCACAGTGATAGACCAGGAGCCCGAAGCAGACGCCGCACCCTGAGCCCCGATTCCCCCTCCTGCATGATTTCTTGGCAGGGTGATGTGTGTCCACAGCTCTCCGCAGGCAGGCAGGCAGTTCCAGCCGGGTCCCCGCCCGCCTGGCTGGGGAGGACGCCGGACTCCCGGCTGCTACACTAGCAGGCCGCCAGGCCCCAGGGCTTGCTCCACCCCTGCCCCTCACCACTCTCCCTCCCAGCCACGGCAGCTGGGCCACTTGTGCACTTCTGGGGAACTGACCGGGAGTCCGGGGCGAGCACCTGCTGTCCACGGCACATGTGACTCCTGTCGCGGGGGGGGGGGGGGTCTGAGTTTTCCCGCAGCAGCAGCTGGTCTGTGGGCCACACTTGCAAGGAGGGGCCGTGGCGGGGACGGCCCCTCGCTTACTCTCTGCCTCTCTCTTCCCCTGCAGTCTCCACCACGGTCCTGTGTCAGAAGCTCATGCAGGTGGTCCCACAGGAGAACTAGCGCCGAGGCCCAGGCACCGCTGGGAGAGGACCCGCACCCGTTCCCGGACGCCTCGCCTCACCACCCTGTGGGCCAGGCACTCAAGGCACTGAGAACATTCTGGTACGAGTTTCAGACGAGGAACGTCTGCGATAGCTCCCCAGCCTTGCGCGAGCCGTGCGCCCGGCGCCCCGGCTGGCGCTGTCATGCCTGGCCCTTGTTTGTGGTTCTAGTTTTTGTTTTAACTTGAGTTTTTGCGTCTGACGCAGCATCTTGGTTAAAGCCACCAAGGTGATTTTTAAAAGAAATGGGGCGGGAGATGGGCAGCATGCCCGCGGCTCGGCCCGCACCCAGGGACCAGATCACTGTTTTCGAGACAGAACTACTGAGACGCCACAGTCACAGCCACACCGAGGCCTCCGCTGACCGCTGGACCCCAACACTAGGCTTTTGTTTTTCTGTGGTCCTGGGGATGGTGCCCGGGGCTTCCTGCATGCCAGACTCGCTCTACTGGCGGTTACACCGGCCCTCTGACCCCCTGGGCTTCTGTCTGTCTGAAAGTCCTAGAGGAATCTCAGCAGCATGGCTGACTGGCTGATGGCTCGGCGGGAAGAGCTGGCACCTGCCCTGTGTGAGCCAGAGGTGGGAGACAGCCGTGCTGCCCTGTGTGCACACGTTCTGCGGTCGGGGGGGACGGCCCTGGCTCCCACAGGCCACATCCAGCTCCCCCTACAGAGTCGGGGCCGCACTGCAGGCCTGGGGTCTCCATCTGCGGGGCTGGGCATTCCTGGGGACCCTGGGGACCTGGCACTGCTTGTGAGCCTGGCTCTCTGCCAGCTGGACAGGTCACCCGTGCAGCTCCTAGCCCAGGTGTCGCTGTCTCCTCCCTGGTTGTCTGCGGCCGCTTTTCAAGCAGATGGAACCAAGTGACCCCTCCTGCCTGGCCGCGTGCCGCCGCCTCCCCAGCCCAGCTCCTCCAACCGCGCCGATTCCTGAAGTCCCTGGAAAGCCACAGGGCGGCTTGTAGCACCTTCAAGACAGACTCCCCCGTGGGCCTGGCCTGCCTGGGGTTGGACAGCGCACTCAGCCGGGACAGACCGAGGCTGCTTCAGGCCTGGCAGCACCTAACAAGCATCGCGCCCATCCCTTTGCCTTTCTGTTTTGTCTAACGTCTTACTGCGCGTTCTGTTCCTCCAGTGGCCAGGCTGCGGGCTCTCTGGGTGGGTCTGTGGCTGCGTCCGGCCCACCCTGGGCCAGCCACTGTGACATCCAGCATTGATGACGTTGCTCTTTTCTTGTTAATGGCTAACCTGTTACACAAGGGTGGGGTGGGATACAGTTCTGCTAGTTCTGTTTTGTGGGATTTTGTTTTTAAAGAAAAGCAGTTGGAAATTGAATGTCTTCAGTGTTTTCTTAGGCATCAGGTTTGGGGGTGAGGGTCCCTGGCCACCCCTTTTCCACATGCACCGTGTGCTCTTCCTTCTGGAGTGTTCCCTGGGCTGTGGTGGAAGGGGCATGGCCTGGCCGAGCAGTGAGCTGGGAAGATTGTGAGCCACAAACACCAGCCCTGGCACAGGTGGGGGGTGGGGAGCACAGCACGGAAGGACGCTGGTCTTTGTCTTCATTTCTGAGACACCCTTCAGAGAGCTGAGGTCAAAGGTCAGACCCTGAGGGCCACGCAGTGCCCCTGGGAGAGGGACAGCCAGAACCCTAACAGGGCCACCTCCAAACCTGCCCGTGAGCAAGAGCCCCAAAGCCCGGCTCCCCGGACCCAGCTCCGCTGCAGAAAGGGCGGCCCGGCTCCTCGGACCCAGCTCCGCTGCAGAAAGTGAGAACACCCAGCCAGGCGCTGGGGTGGGCGGGGCACCCAAGCGAGCCCCGCCACTGCAGCCTGTGTCCTCACCTACCCCTGCTGCGCCACTGCAGCCTGTGTCCTCACCTACCCCTGCTGCGGCCTCTTGAGGATGTGATGGTGTCCCTGCAATTGGGAAGGGAAGCCCCAGAACTTAGCAGTGCCGCCCAAAGGCAGACAGGTGAGGGCTGATGGCGTGCCCGGCCCTGTTCCCGGGGGGGTGGCCAGGGGGGGCCTCCCGAGCCGGCCCGCCGAGTCAGGCTGTCCTCAGGGCTCTGGGCCTGCTCGCCATTCCTCCTGCTGTCAGCCTTTGACCCTGGCCCCCAGGGCTGTCCCAAAAGGCAGCTGGCGAGCCACAGGCATCGTGTCCAGGCCGGGCTCGGCCCCAGCAGCGCCCTGGGGCTCCTGGCCCACTGGGCATCAGCAAGGAGGAGCCTCTGGGCTCTGGTAACCCCCACGTGGGGCTGAGAAGCACCCCGACTCTGAGCAGCCATCTGCGCTCCCATGCCCCCAGACGGCATTCTGGTCACCCTCAGGAGGTGGGGTGGCCACCCGCCCGGCCCCAGCACTTCCTGATGACCTTCAGACAAGTCTGGCTAACAAGTACCCACTTCACGTCCTACAAACATGCCGAAAAGAAGCACCTTCCTCAGGGTCTCAAGCAGGTCCCGGCCCCCGGCCAGGCCAGGCAAAGCCAGCCCCACGGCTGGGTGTGGTGTCCTCCCTCCACACTGACTTACTGACTCCACACTGCCACTCTCCCTGCTGGCTCTGCCCGCTGCCTGGGCTCAGAGCCAGCGTGCGCGGGTGCCGGCTCTTCCGGCTCCTGAGGGTTCCCAGCACACTAGAAGTCTAGCTGTGGCCGGGGCTCCCTGGGATCCCCGCAGCTGGCCCGGGAAGTAGGCTGACCTTGAGGGGCACGCCGACACTGGGAAGGATACAGACAGACAGCAAAAGGCACGTGCAGAGCTGGGACAGAGCTGGGTGGGGACCTCGAGCAGGCGGCTGGGAAATGAGAACAAATTGGATTTATTGAGAAGGGCCATCGAGCCTGGCGCTGGCGGCTCACCTACCATCCGCCTGCAATCCCAGCTACTCAGGAGAGGCTGAGGCCTAAGGATTGTGGTTAGAAGCCTGGTCAGGCAGGAAAGTCTGTGAAACCCTTACCTCCAGAAAACTGGAAGTGGCGCTGTGGCTCAAAGATCTCAGGGACAGCACCCAGGCCCCAAGTCCAAGCCCCATCACACACACACACACACACACACACACACACACACACACACACACCACTTTCTGCAGGATTGCTGCATGGGATCTCTGCTCTGTGAGGGGTCAGCATTAGGCAGAGTTTTCAGGGCTTCTCCCAGCCCAGCCTTCTATTCTGTTGTCCAGACATGTGTGACCAGGCAGACCAGCCTGGCACCATGCTGCCCACCTCCGCTCCTATCCATCCCCGGGTCCAGCTCAGTTCAACGAGCTGTCCCGTCCACGGAGAGGCAAGGAGACGGGTGTAGAACACTGCGGGGGGCGGGGGGCGGGAGGGGAGCTGAGTTCTGGGCTAGTGGGGTCCTCTGCCACTCAGAGCTGGACAAGATCCCCAAACATGCACGGCTTTGGTCTCTGAAAGCTTTGTACACCCTTGGACTCCCTCCGAGACCTCATCGTAGTGAAGTGGAACCTGCCTGCCCTGTGCCTCCAGGCTGGGAAAATCCAGAGGCTAGGGGCGCTGGAAGCTCACCTGGGGTGAGCCCCCAGATGCTGCCTCCCTCGGGCCTCTCCAGACGGCCCCCTCCACCAGAGTCCCGGGAGCCCTGGCTCCCCCAGTGGGGGTCTATTCTACATCCTGGAGACGGCAGGTCCACCCCGGCAGGCGGCTGCGTCCGGGAGTGATGGTCTTGCCCATCTCAAAGGAGAGACTGAGCTCCCAGAGTTCCCTCACCCAGGAACCTGAGCAAGGAGCCGGAGGAGCAGCTGGAACAAGGCACGCTGGGGCAGCGAGGAGCCCGGCTCCCCACAGGAGCGGCCTTCCCTGAGGCCTGCCTGGCCTCTTCCTGAGCCTGGCCGCGGCCCGCCAGTCACTGCTGCAGCCTCCAGCCCCCCCCAGGGCTCTCCCACGCTCTGTACCAGGCTGTGCTCTCCTGCTGTTGCTTGTTTGTGCACGGCCCTGCAAAGCACGCCCCAGTCTTCACTTCTCCAGGTCCAGTTCCAACAGGATCCAGGTCTTTTCCTGAAGCTAGAGAGTGACTAAATCCTGCAAGTAGCAACTCAACCACATGACAAAAGACAGCTTCAAACGCTCAGGGCCCAGGCAGACAGACCCTTCCCAGACTGGTCTCTGCCTGTTTCATTGCAGACTGGGTCGTCCCTGGATCAAATGGGTGGCAGAAGGTTCCAGAAGTTTCTTCTGACTCCACCTCTGTGGGGCAGCGTGGAGGTCTGCCTGGGCTTTCCCTCAAAGAGAGCTCTGGCCCTTTATGGCCAGGCAAGTGCTCACGAGGCCTCTGCCATCCCTCCCGGCTCTCATACGCGGCCCTGGCTGCCCACAGCCACCCCACCCTTGGCCAGTGGCTACAAAGTCCCTTCACCCCAACAGCTCCAGCCTCAGTGGGGGGTCTGGGGTGAGAAGGGGGCCACTCCCCCCCTCTTGGTGTGTGGTGTCTGTGATGGTGTCTGTGTGTGTGTGTGTGTGTGTGTGTGTTGCCAGTCCTGGGCACTGTCCCTGATCTTTTGCTCAAAGCTAGCACTCTACCACTTGAGCCACAGCGCCACTTCTAGATTTTTCTGTGTATGTGGTACTGAGGAATCAAACCCAGGGCTTCACACAAGCACTCTACTACTTGTCCACATTCCTAGCCCTGTGTAAGTGTATGGGGTGTGTGTGTATATGTGTGGTGTGGTATGGTATGTGTGTATGTAGTATATGTGTGGTATGTTTGTGTGTGGTATGGTATGGTATGTGTGTATATGGTATGTGTGTGGTGTGGCATGGTGTGGTATGTGTGTGTGTGGTATGGTATGTGTGTAAATGGTGTATGTGTGTATATGGTGTGTGTGTGTATATGGTATGTATGTATATGGTGTGTGTGTGTGTGTGTGTGTGTGTTACTAGGGAGGAGATGCAGGGCATCACACATGTCTTCAGCCCTGTGAGGGTTATATGTAGCGATTCCCAGCACTTCCACGGTACCCAGATGGGACACTCTGGTAACAAGGCAGATGTGAGGTGTGGGGCAGGCAGGCGCTGGCTCCCGCGAGGTCTCCTTTGGGGGTCACCATGCCTGCATTGTGGCTGGCAAGAGCCATAATGTTTGGAAAGTGAAGCCCCACACAAGAGGGAGGGGCAGCACTGGGAGCTGCTGCCTCCCCTGCCTGTGCCCGGCCCTGCCCGATTCTGAGACCTGGATGCTCCGGCGCCACGCCAGGATCCCAAGGTGAGCCCGGCCACTCACTCCTGGAGCTCCCAAGGCTTCCGGCTGCACCCCGTGAGCCTGGGCACCCGCGGCCTGTGCTGGGGTCTGAGTCCAGGCCCCACCCAGCCGGCCTGTGGCCCTGGGCCCTGTCATTTCTTCGGCCTGGGTGGGAGGACCCTTCTGGCGATGGCTCCTCCAGTGGGGCCAGAAGTCTGCTGGAAGCGGGAGGGGCTGAAGTCCTGCGTGCAGGGGAGTCCCGGCCAGCACAGGGCACATCACCCCTGGATATCAGGATTTGGCAACAGCCCATGTCTGCAGATGTCACAGGCAGGCTCTCAGGGCAGCCTCCCCACCCGGTCCATTGTTTGCCCACAGCTGGAGCCCTGGGCCTGGGAACAGGTGAGCGGCCCAAGGCCCAAGGCAGTTCCTGACCAGGTGCTTGACCTGGGCTGGGGGAGGCTTTCATCACCTGCCCCGGCTCCCCTCCCTTCTCGGCCTGTCTGTGCCCGCACCCCATTGCCAAACATCGTAAGACTTCTGCTCCACATTGCTGCCCTTCACCAGTCTCAGCTGGGAGGGCTAAAACATTCCAGAATCTTCCCTCCTAGTTTCCTTTAAAAAAAAAAAAAAAAAGGAAAGGAAAGGATCAGCTGAGTGTAGAAGCTCACGTCTGTCCATCTGTCATCCTGGTTATTCAGGAGGATTGCAAGAAGACAGCCCAGTCAGGAAAGTCTGTGAGATTCTTATCATCACTAAACTACCAAAAAGAACTCTGAAGTGGCGCTGTGGGTCATGTGGTAGAGTGCTAGCCTTGAGCAAAAAGATCAGGGATAGAGAGCCCAGGACCTGAGTTCAAGCCCCAAGACCAGCACAGATACATACATGCATGTGTACATACACACATACAGACATAGTTTTTAAAGGCTCTGGGTGTAGGAGCTCACATTTGAAATCTTAGCTAATGAGAGGCTGAGAGCCGAGGGATCACCGTTCTAGGCCAGTCTTGGGGGGAAATTCACCAGACCCTCCCTCGGGGAGCTGACATCTCACGCCTGTAATCCCAGCTACTCAGGAGGCTGCCAGCCCAGGAAGGAGAAGCTGTGAGACCCTCATCACCAATGAACCACCAG